GCTGGACTGAGAGCACCAAGCTTCTTCTGGTTCCAGTGTATTCTCAGTTTCACTGGACTTTGCTGGTAGCTCAGAGGGAAGGCACTGGGCAACCCATCACTTGGAGGAGGTATGACTCCCTCAGCAAAGAGCATGAAGAATCTCATCCTCAGCAGATCCTCATGGGGAGCTTGCTTGACCCTCAGTTCATCCTTCCACCACTCAGCAACTCTGCCAAGCAGCCTGTGGGCAGCAATGCCTGTGGCTGCTATGTGCTTCACTACATAGAGGAAGAAATCAGGCTTTTCAGAGGAGAGTGGCTCTCAGTTTGGCCTGAGACAGGGTGGAAGAACTGGAAGCAGAGGTTGGAGATTGCTTGCAACAAGGTCATTGCTGAGCAAAAACTTATCACTGATGCTGCCAAGATCAGATGGGAGAAATTTATAACTGAGAGGGCTAAGATTGCTGAGCAACAAGAAAAAGCTAAGGCAAAGCTTTCTAAGCTCAAGGGCATCACCTCAGTTGCCTACATTACTGCCCAGCAGCAGCTGGACAAGAACTCAGTGAGGTTCACCTGGAAAAACCTCTCTGAGGAATCAGTTCACAAGGTCAGGCTCCTGGAGCATGCCTTGGGAAAATGTCCTAAGTGCAGATGGCAATCAGGCTGCCTGAGCTGTGATGCCTACAAATGCCTCAGGTACCACCTGCACTCAGAGGCTGCCAAGGCCAAGAAGTTGCCCTTTCTCAGCACAGGGCCTGAGGATCTTCAGCAACTGCTCAAGTCAGCCACCCTAGCTATCTCAGCAAGCTCATCTTTAGAACCTATTTCCTCGAGCTCAGCTGCATCTACCTCAGCAACATCAGCTGCTCCTGCCTGAAGCTCTACTGAGAGTGAGTGATTTGCAGCTTTGCACTGATAAAAACTCAGTGGCTTTCACTTTCATTCTGATATAATTGAGTCAGTGCTAGAAAATCTCTTCAGGAAGCAGCTGGACACAATAGTGTACCCTCAAACAAACCACACTATTGTGCATCAGGGTTGCTCATGGACTACCTCCTTGAAAAATTGTTTGGGTGATGTGTTTTAATTGGGTTTTAATAAGGCATCATATATTTTGGGAAACTGGTCATTTCTGAGAATTTCAAATGAAAGAAACTAAGAAAGAAATTAATTGAAAGGAAAACACTTTAGCTAGCAAAGGAAAAGGTAAAGGAAATGATTGAAAACATCAAAAAAATCATGACCTCAGGAAGCAGCTGGACACAATAGTGTACCCTCAAACAAACCACACTATTGTGTATCAGGGTTGCTCATGGACTACCCCCTTGAAAAATTGTTTGAGTGATGTTTTTTTTATTGGGTTTTAATAAGGCATCATATATTTTGGGAAACTGGTCATTTCTGAGAATTTCAAATGAAAGAAGCTAAGAAAGGAATTATTTAAAAGGAAAACACTTCAGCTAGCAAAGGAAAAGGTAAAGGAAATGATTGAAAAAATCAAAAAATCATGACCTCAGGAAAGCAGCTGGACACAATAGTGTACCCTCAAACAAACTACACTATTGTGTATCAGGGTTGCTCATGGACTACCCCCTTGAAAAATTGTTTGAGTGATGTTTTTTAATTGGGTTTTAATAAGGCATCATATATTTTGGGAAACTGATCATTTCTGAGAATTTCAAATGAAAGAAACTAAGAAAGAAATTAATTGAAAGGAAAACATTTTAGCTAGCAAAAGAAAAGGTAAAGGAAATGATTGAAAAAATAAAAAAAACATAACCTCAGGAAGCAGCTGGACACAATAGTGTACCCCCAAACAAACCACACTATTGTGTATCAGGGTTGCTCATGGACTACCCCCTTGAAAAATTGTTTGAGTGATGTTTTTTAATTGGGTTTTAATAAGGCATCATATATTTTGGGAAACTGGTCATTCTGAGAATTTCAAATGAAAGAAACTAAGAAAGAAATTAATTGAAAGGAAAACACTTTAGCTAGCAAAGGAAAAGGTAAAGGAAATGATTGAAAAAATCAAAAAAATCATGACCTCAGGAAAGCAGCTGGACACAATAGTGTACCTTCCAAACAAACCACACTATTCTGTATCAGGGTTGCTCATGGACTACTCCCTTGAAAAATTGTTTGAGTCATGTTTTTTAATTGGGTTTTAATAAGGCATCATATATTTTGGGAAACTGGTCATTTCTGAGAATTTCAAATGAAAGAAACTAAGAAATAAATTAATTGAAAGGACAACACTTTAGCTAGCAAAGGAAAAGGTAAAGGAAATGATTGAAAAAAAAATCATGACCTCAGGAAAGCAGCTGGACACAATAGTGTACCCTCCAAACAAACCACACTATTTTGTACCTGGATGTAATTTTCTGTGGAAGGCATCTGGAAAATTTCAATGATGGAAAATAAAAAGTAAAAGGAAAAAGCTTAAAAAAAATGAAAAAAATGAAATGTTTGAACAACAACAAAAGACCAAGACACAATTGTGTATCCTGACACAATTTTACAAAATAATAAAAAAACATAATTAAAAATAAAAATAATTATTTTTTTATAATTAAAAATAAAAATAAATAATAACTTAAAATAAAAAAAAAATAATTAAATAATTAAATTCAAAATTATTATAGTTAAAAATAAAAATAAAAATATTTAAGAATTTAAAAATAAAATAAAAAACAATTAAAAACTAAAAAACAAAAAAATGAAAAAAACTTACACCAAAAATGCTGTGGACACAATAGTGTACCCCGCGAACATTTCCAGAGTTACAGAATAATTTTGAGGTCTGTGGACACAATAGTGTATCCCCACACTAATCAGTATCCGACATTACTCACGCTTTCAAGCTGCAGAATTGGTGGTGGAAGAGATTGACTCCTCGGGTCATTCCCGTGGACGGTCCTTGGAACATTTCTTCAATGGAATCGTTGGTCATGTCCGGGATCGACAAGGAAATCAAGTGGATGGTTGGCACCAAGCAACCCAGTTGGCCAACTATTGGCGCCGTCATTTTGGCGTGCCTGAAGATTCCCATCCATACCATGATTACAATCCCGATGACGGGGCTGAATCAACGGATGTGAATCTTCCCGTGCCGACTCAGTCTCAACCTCCGGTCCCAATCACCCAGCTGGCCTGGCTACTACACAGCATTCTGAGCCGGGATCCTGCAGGCAATGATTCAATTTTATCGGCGTTGGCAGGGCATTTCCGGTCTCGCCAGATGCACCACCGTTGAGTTCGGACTCTTTGAACCATGAAGGTCAGGCCACCTGGCGATCTTGGTGAACGTACTTGCTCAACATCGGGCTGCATCCTGTGAGATCCTTGATGATAACAGTTCATATTTTTGCCCTCTGTCTGCACAACCGTCACTTGCGATTTGCTGGTCGTTTGACCGATTTGATCCGTTTCCAGCTCTGCATCTTCCAAAAAAGCCCCGCGGCAGCGGGGCGTGTGTGTGAACGATCTGAAGAGATGTAAAACTTCTTTTCTTTTCCAGCTTTCTGTCTTTTCATTACGTTTCAAATTTGCAGGGGGTGCCAGGGGCACTGATGAGACCCGCACTAACAAAGACCCTCATCAGTCACCTGTGATATCTGATATCGATGGGGACGATATATTTTTTCCCGTAATGGGAAGAGGCTCAACCCAAGAACCTCCGGTTGTCGTTTGCAAATTTGCTGCACTGTTGCCGCATTTTGATCCACTTCAACTTCAACTGAACAGGGGAAGGGTAAGTTTTCAATGTGATCGTTTTCAGCACTGACTATGGCAATAGTACAAGTCAGAGTATCGATCAGAAAATGGGTTAGTTGGTTGAACTGCCTTTGATTATTTTTGATCTGTTGGGGCCATCCTCTGAAGGCATCTGACTGTCGCCAGTGAATTCTCAGGGCCATGCCATCCAGGGCTGTTGCTATCTGTTGCTCCTTGTCCACGGCGTCTCTCCAAAGGAGTTGTACCTGCAACTGAAGTTGAATGGCTTTCATGCACCCATTCTGCGCCGCTCTCTATACCTTTTTCGACCCCTCCTTCTGTACACAATCGCATTCATGTTTCACCCTCCGACTCATCAGTAAATCCCTTCCCACATGTTTTATGATTCATGCCGTGGTGCGAATTGACTCGCACCTTCCTCCTCCTGTTTAAGCCTGTTCAACTGGGCTAATCTATGCAGGGGCGTTGTACACAAGAGCCGTGAAACCATTTCTCGGAAGACATGACCATGATGTGTGACGACCCAGGTCGGAATCTGAAAGGTCAACTACATGTCAGAAATCTGCCATATCGGAATTAATGTAAAAATATCAGGATAGAGAAATGGAGAGAGAGAGAGAGAGAGCGAGAGCGAGAGCGAGAGCGAGGGAGAGAAATGGTGGTGTTGCCCGAACACCTGCTTCCAATTTCCAACAAGCAACGGATATATAAGTTCTTTTTCTGTGTGCTGGTTGTTGTTGGAGCCGGAAGCTGGTATTGGCTGAACATTTTGGAAATTTAACCTTCCATATTGTGATGTTGCTCTGGGTTGTTGGTTGCCGCTGGTGGCGCAGGGGTTGAACTTTAAAAAATGTTGGAACACCCTTTATGTATCCGGGTTGCTGGTGTTATTTTTTTCTTGTTCTTTTGCTCTGCGTTGCTTGTTGGGAGGTTGAATGAAGTGGGTGGTACGACATGGTATCTAGAGAATTTTGGAGTTGAAACCTTTCGCTTGTGCACTGTGCTTGCAACACTTTGGAACTCGAACTTCTTAGTGAGCATGCTCTTTGCAGCATTTTGAAGTTTGAACCTTTCAGTTTGCATTGTGTTTCTTTCCTTCCCTCCTCCCCCTTCCCTCCTCCCCTTCCCTCCTTCCTTTCCCTCCTTCCTTCTTTTCCTCCCTTCTTCCTTTCCTCTCTTTCCGGGAATATTTTTTTTTGATCCTTGAATATGATTTCCTCATATTTCTTCTTATCCTTTTATCGTTTTGTGTCGATGTTTGGAGTCGATCTGTGTCGGCCGAGGAGCTCACGATTTACAATTTCAATTTGGGGCTCTACGGCGTGATGCGGATCACCTTTGAGCTGGCACCTGCCGGAGACTGGATCCAGAATTTTGACATTGATGTGCTCTTGCAGAGGCGCCTATGGTCCAAATGCGTCACCTTGGTGTTCGCAGGAAACAGATGATAACAGGTGATAACAGATGACCCGCATGTGGTTTTTGCAGGGACAGTTTTTTGATAGCAATCAGTCGAAACTTAAACCGGGAAAAATGCATCATTTGCATGACCAGCTTCCAGACCTATGGCAGGCACTTGCAACCACTTGGTGCTGGTTCCACAGAGGACTGGCTTTTTCTAATCTTGGAAGCAGGCTTAGTGCTGTTTGTGCTACGGTTCCTTGCCGAACAAGGGAAACGGGATGAAACGGGTAGGGTGGGGCGAGTCTCCACATCCGTTCCCACAATTGCAACTTAGGCACTCTGTAAAATCATCAAGTCCTTGTTCAGATTTGTTCAGAAAGTGCTTTGCGCCACATGTATTTTTCCATGTGCAAGCGCGTTTGGAATTTGGGTTGCATGGTGAGTCCCATCAACATTGTTTGGGCCGTTTGGGTTTGATCAAACGTTGGCGCCAACCCATGAGTTGTGTCATAAGCCTTTGTTAATCTGCGACTGGTCGAAAGTGTAAACATGCAGCCTTTGAGCTTTTGACCAGTGCAGATCAGACAGCACAATATCGCAACCGAACACCAAAATGATCTGCGCGTCTCCCAGCCATTGACCGACTATGGATATCTATGGATATCTATGGAGACAATATGACCCCAATATGTTTCATACAATATGAAGGTTTAGCTGTTGCCTCATGTTGCCTCAAACCAATCCCTGTTGGCCGGTCCGACTCTGTCCAGCTCTGTCCAACTTTGTCCAGCTCTGTCAGCGTCCAACTGGTCAACTGACTTCGAGGTATGTTTTGGAGGAAGCAGCTGAATTCGTGGGCTTCCAGTCCAAAAACGGCAAGATTTCAGTCACCATCAAGCTCAAAGCTGAGAATGGGCAGAATGGGCAGAATGGCATTCTTAGGTGTATTAAAACGATGTAATGTATCAGATATTTATAGATCTATCACCATCTATCACCTTGAAATACCTTGATCACCCCGGTCCTGCTGTCCTGCCCTTAGGTGGGACTACTTCTTGGATGCATGGAACGTGTTGGACTGGTTTAATTTGATCATGATGATCATTACAGTTTGCTACAAAGTCGATACGTGGTCGAAAGCTGGTGGACTCTATGTGATCTCGCCGAGCAATTGGGATAGTGTGACCAAAGACATGTACTCAAACTTCCATGGGGTGGCATCCAACGTCAGACTCTCGCCTTCCTTTTTTCCCTTTGCGTGGGTTCATTACTTTGCATCGCGCAAATGTTGGCTCATTCATACCCTGTGTTTTCTGTGGTGGGACGGTCGTGTGATTCTGGGCCAAGGACAGATACAGAGTTTGATCTCGTTCAACACCATCCTTACCTGGTTCAAGGCGGTCAAGTACATCAACATCATTCCCTATGTGACCAATCTGAAGATCAGAGCCCCTTCTGCCAAGCTATATTTCTAGCTGCTGTAGATGGTGCACCACGTTCCGCTTGTTTGCCGGCACTTGTTCGAACTTTTTCTGTGAGAAACGTGGATATTGGGTTGGACAAGATACATCATGATACATCCACGTATCATCCACGTATCTGACCCCGGCCCCTATCGACGAGAGCGAACAAACGGACACATAGCGGATTTCATCTCGCGCGCAGCTCCGCGTCAGTTTACTCCTTGTGTTCCATTTAGACCTGGGTGGGAAATCCCATTTCAAAAATTGGTCAGTCAACAAGCCAGAATATTACTCTACACGACATTCTGCACTGCACGCGCTACATTCTAACACTTGACACTCCACACTCGGGCTTCACACTCCTGGACACCCCACACTCTACACACTAGACTTCACACTCTACACTCTACACCCTACACTTCACACTCTACTCTCCTCACTCTGCTCTCATTTTACTCTCCACTTCACACTCCTCACTCCACACTCTACACTGCACACTACACTCTAGCCTTTTCACTCCACACTTCACACTCTACACTCTACAGTCCACACCCAAACTCTACGCTGTACACCCCACATTCAACACTGCACTCCGTGCACTCCACACCCTGCACTCTAAGGACTCTAAGCACAACACTTTACACCCACACTCTGCAGTTGACACACGACACTTCACACTGTACACTCGGCACCCTACACTGTACTCTAGACACTGCACTTTACACTTCGCACTCCACTTCACTCCTACACTTCATGCTCCGCAATTCACCGTCCACACTCGACACTTCACACTCTACACTCCACACTTGACGCTGCACTTTGCACTTTACGGTGTGCATTCTGCACTCTACGCTTCACACTCTACGCCATTGCTTGCTGATCTCAAAGTGAACAAAAAGCTGAAGCCAGGCCCCCTGAAACCACAAAAACCATCTGCATTTGCGGGCATTCACCACAACTGGTCACCAAACGTGCTTTGCTCGCCAAAGCGACAATGATACTATGCATAAAAAAAATGACCTAAAGAAAGGACAGAAAATTTGAGGCAGGAACAAAATTCAAATAGTGTAGTTTACAGATTAGTGTGGGGAGGCCCCCCCCCTCAACAAATTTTGGATACAGAATAGTGTAAAAAAACCAAAGTAGAGGGTACAGAATACGGTGAAATAAAAAAAAATGATAGATTTAAATTGATTTCAATTTACTTTCAATTGATTTCAATTTACTTTCAATTGATTTGAATTTATTTTGAATTGATTTCAATTTACTTTCAATTGATTTGAAGTTATTTTGACTTGATTTCAATTTACTTTCAATTGATTTCAATTTACTTTCAATTGATTTGAAGTTACTTTGACTTGATTTCAATTTATTTTGAAATGAGTTCAATTTTCTTTCAATTATTTTGAATTATTTACTTTCAATTGATTTCAATTTATTTTGAATTGATTTGAAGTTACTTTGAATTGATTTCAATTTACTTTCAATTGATTTCAATTTACTTTCAATTGATTTGAAGTTACTTTGAACTGATTTCAATTTATTTTGAAATGAGTTCAATTTTCTTTCAATTATTTTGAATTATTTACTTTCAATTGATTTCAATTTACTTTCAATTGATTTGAAGTTACTTTGAATTGATTTCAGTTTACTTTGAATTGATTTCAATTTACTTTCAATTGATTTCAATTTATTTTGAATTGATTTGAAGTTACTTTGAATTGATTTCAATTTACTTTCAATTGATTTCAATTTACTGTCAATGGATTTGAAGTTACTTTGAATTGATTTCAATTTATTTTGAAATGAGTTCAATTTACTTTCAATTATTTTTAATTATTTACTTTCAATTGATTTCAATTTACTTTCAATTGATTTGAAGTTACTTTGAATTGATTTCAATTTACTTTGAACTGATTTCAATTTACTTTGAATTGATTTCAATTTACTTTCAATTGATTTCAATTTACTCTCAATTGATTTCAATTTACTTTCAATTGATTTCAATGTACTTCAATTTGCTTTCAATTTACTTTGAATTTACTTTCAATTGATTTCAATGTACTGCCAATTTACTTTCAATCGACATCCCATAGAAATCCAATAGTAGTCCCAAAGAAATATCATAGAAATACCATGGAAATCCCATAGGAATCTCACAGAAATCCCATAGAAAGATCATAGAAATAACATGGAATAGCATAGGGACCACAAAAGAAATCCCATGAGAATTCCAATAATAATCCCATAGAAATATCATAGACACATCATGGAAATACCTTGGAAATCACACAGGAATCCAATAGAAATTCCATAGGAATCCAATAGAAATACCATAGAAATCCCATAGGAATCCAATGGAAATCCCATAAGAATACCATAGAACTACCATAGCACCCCTTCAGAAATCCCATAGAAATCCTCCAGAAATATCATAGAAACATCATGGAAACCCCATAGGAATTCCATAGAAATCCAATAGTAATACCATAGAAATGCCATAAAAGAAAAAAGCTTTAGCAAAGGAAAAGGTAAAGGGAATGCTTGAAAAAAACATCACACCAGGAAGCATCTGGACACAATAGTGTACCCTCCAAACAAACCACACTATTTTGTATCAGGGTTGCTCATGGACTACCCCCTTGAAAAATTGTTTGAGTGATATTTTTTTATTGGGTTTTAATAAGACATCATATATTTTGGGAAATTGGGCATTCCTGAGAATTTCAAATGAAAGAAACTAAGAAAGTAACTAAGTAATTAAAAGAAAAAACTTTAGCAAAGGAAAAGGTAAAGGAAATGATTGAAAAAAAAACAAAATCACCTCAGGAAGCAGCTGGACACAATAGTGTACCCTCGAAACAAACCACACTATTGTGTATCAGGGTTGCTCATGGACTACCCCCTTGAAAAATTGTTTGAGTGATGTTTTTTAATTGGGTTTTAATAAGGCATCATATATTTTGGGAAACTGAGCATTTCTGAGAATATCAAATGAAAGAAAGTAAGAAAATAATTAATTAATTAAAAGGAAAAAAACTTTATCAAAGGAAAAGGTAAAGGAAATGATTGCAAAAAAAAAACAAAATCACGTCAGGAAGCAGCTGGACACAATAGTGTACCCTCCAAACAAACCACACTATTGTGTATCAGGGTTGCTCATGGACTACCCCCTTGAAAAATTGTTTGAGTGATGTTTTTTAATTGGGTTTTAATAAGACATCATATATTTTGGGAAACTGGGCATTTCTGAGAATTTCAAATGAAAGAAACTAAGAAAGTAATTAAGTAATTAAAAGAAAACAAATTTAGCAAAGGAAAAGGTAAAGGAAATGATTGAAAAAATCAAAAATCATGACCTCAGGAAAGCAGCTGGACACAATAGTGTACCCTCCAAACAAACCACACTATTGTGTACCTGGATTTAATTTTCTGTGGAAGGCATCTGGGAAAATTTCAATGATTCTTGGGAAAATTTCAACGATGGAAAATAAAAAGTAAAAGAAAAATGCTTTAAAAAATAAAAAAATGAAAAATGTTTGAACAACAAAAAAAGACCAAAACACAATTGTGTATCCTGACACAATGACACAATTGTGTATCCTGACACAATTTTAAAAAACAATTTAAAAATATAATTAAAAATAAAAATAAAAAATTATTTAAAGTAAAATAAAAAATAATTAAATTAAAAATGATAATTGAAAATTATTATAATTAAAATTTATTATAATCAAAAATTATTATAATTAAAAATTGTTATTATTAAAATTAAAAATAAAAAATAATTTAACAAAATTCAAAAATAAATTTAAAATTAATATAATTAAAAATAAAAATAAAAAATAATTTAAAATCAAATAAAAATAATTAAAAATAAAAAATATTATAATTAAAAATAAAAATAAAAAGCAATTAAAAACTAAGAAGACAAAAAAATGAAAAAAAACTTACACCAAAATCCTGTGGACACAAAACTGTACCCCTCGATCATTTCCACAGTTACAAAATAATTTTGGAGTCTGTGGAGACAATTCTGTATCCCCACACTAATCTGTATCCCACATTACATTCGAATACCAAACAGCAATGAGAGACGAACGTATCAGTTATTTTCCTGCTGACTCTGCACACTTGGCATCACTGCCCTGATGGCAACTAGCATCCCATAACTTGCGTTTTTTCCTGCTGACTCCAAAAATGTTGCATCAGTGCTCTGATAGTAGCTCGCATCATTGCTCCGATGGCAACTGGCATCCCGGGAGTGGCACCTGTTTTGATGTGCAGAAAGATGCAGAAAACAGAGGTGTGCTGAAAAAAAGACAAACGAAACACTGGTCAACACAAACTGTACTACCAAACATCAAACAAAGAAGCGCGGCAAAAACAAACATGATCAAAACAAGGCACCAAGGATGAGAGTATCAAATACCTTGACAGTGTGGCTTAATTGGAACACTACATGTATCTAAATGCATCTGTTGGGATGAAGTGTCGCAGGCTTCAACTTCCCTAGTTGAGTCTGATTGGGCGGTGTTTTGGAATTCAGGTGACGACCTTCATGCAGACGGTGGTGATTTCACAGCAGAGCCTGAGCTGAACAGCTACGAACACACGCGTCCAGTGCCGCAGTGTTTGACAACTCGATTTGCCACACATTGCCACACTTGCGCCAGTGTTTTGAGCGACACTGCGCAGACCCCACCCTGAGCGCAACAATCGCCAGAGGTGATGCGTGGTTTGGATGCTTTCGAACTGTTTGTTGTGCCAAGGTCTGCAGCATGTTCAAAATAAACACAAAGAGACAAGGAGTAGTTGAGTAGGTTCAGACATGGGGCTGCCGATACGCAAAAGAGCACCAGCAACGCATGCTGGGTGTCCGATCCAGACGCATATCGGGCATCCAGCTGTTTTCTATTGACTAGATGGACTAGATTGACTAGTTGTCGCAAGATTTTACCATTTTTCATGTCATTTTTGGGGAATGCAAGTAGAATCATTTTGATTTTTTGATGGGAAGGGATTTATTTAGGTTTATTTCCGGGTGAGTTTGAGATTTTTTCTCGTCCTTTTTGTTACACCTTCCATTTCTTTCTATTTTTGGGTACCTGTTAGTTTTTTTTTTCGCTTTCATTTTTCTGCTTCTCTTCTTTTTTGTTGCTTATCTGCTTTTTGGCTTTTCTACTTTTCTGCTTCTCTGCTTTTCTGATTTTCTGCGTTTTTGCTTCTCTGCTTTTCTGCTTTTTTTCTTCCCTGCTTTCTTCCGCTTTTATTCTTTTTTGCTTCTTTTGCTTCCTCTCCTTTTCTGCTTCTCTGCTTCTCCGTTTTTCCGCGCTTCTTTTCTTTTTGCTTTTCTGCTTTTTGCTACTTCTTTGCTTCTCTGCTTGTCTGCTTTCGTTTCTCTGCTTTTCTTCTTCTCTAAGTCTTTCTGTTTTGCTTTGCTGTTTGTTTTATTTCTCTGCTTTTTTGTGTTTTATGTGCTATGGTAAAAACACGGGTTACTTTCCCATAACGGTAGTTTGTCATGAACCCATTCATTGGGATTTGTATACCCATGATCAAGATTTCCATAATGAGATGGATGATCACGCATTATCTACTATGTTCGGACCCTAGCACATATGGTCCTGGTTCTTCAAACCCTGTACATGTTTGATTTTGTTGGCCCCTTTGTTTCTCTCCTCTTCTTCGCCTCAACAACAACAACAACAAGAAGTACAAGTACAAGTACAACAACAAAAACAAGAACAACAACAAGAACAAGAACAACAACCACAACAACAACAACACCACCACCACCACCACCAACAACAACAACAACACCCCCACCACCACCACCACCACCAACAACAACAACAACAACAAGTAGTACAACAACACAAACAAGAACAAGAACAAGAAAAAAACAACTGTAAAAACTCCTGCGGTAAAACCATGTATTGTACATATCATCGATCTACCCGATAGCGTTGGTTCAGAAGTACCAGGAGCTGAGCGGTTTGTAGGTTCACCCCATTAGTGTTGTAATACCTAATTGGTGGCTGACCTGTGAATATACAGGTTATCAGCCGTAGTCTCACTACTTTGCTATGGGGACCCCAACTGACCTTCCTCTCGCCGTTCAAGGGTCAGGTCCATCGGCCGTCGCTGTGCCCAATGTGGCCGGGGGCAACCCTGAGCCGATGGATGACGAAACAATGTTTCAACCCGTTGTAGCGTATTTTACCTTCATACAAAACAACCTGTCCCAGATCACTAGTGGGAATACCCTGCAAGTCATGAGGGAAGCTGAACAGAGGCACCTTCAGATAATGCATGGGCTCGTAATGCAAGAGCAGGAGTATGAGCAAAGGCTGCAGGAGGTTGAAGGTAAGGCCATTAGTGCTGTCAACGAGGAAAGGAAACGAGGCGACGTGTTGGAGGTCAGGTTGAATCAGGCTCAGGCATCGCATGACAAAAGAGTAGAGGATTTCAAGGTAGAGGCAAACACAAAGCATGATCAGAAAATTGCAGAGGAAAGGCAACGTATCACTAGCGAATTCGAAGCTTCCTATGCACAGACAGTTGAACATGCAAAGAATGCCATAGCTGCCACAAAGAAGCAATATGAAGATCAGGCTGCAATTGATCAGGCCAGGTTCATCAGTTTGAGGACCGAATTCGAGAACTACAAGAAGGAGATGGCCGACAAGATCCACGAGGCAGCGGCTCAGAATCTCAGCCTTCAGGACCAAATCGATGATCTTCAGGAGCAGTTAAAGCATGTTGCCAAAGCGCAGCATGCCTCCGTTCCGAAAGCATCCGTCCAGAATGCCGAGCCGGCCGCTACCACTAGCGTGCCCCACTTCAATATTGCAACTCCTAGAGCATCCGATGCACAGGCTGCCAAAGGCAGTGATGAGCCGATCCAAGAGTTGAAAACGCCTGCAGTGTTGGCACAAGAAGCAAAAGCCAAGTTGGATGAGCTGCTCAAAGGTGGCAGTTCCAACCAGAAACCGGCTGTCGGCAACGACCAGCCCCAATTGCCAACGCAGTCAGGGTTTTTCACTCCCACTGAAGCTATCAAAACTCCCCCGAATGACTCTCCTAAGAGCGTAACCAAGCAACAGCAAGTGATGGGTCCCTCAGATCTCATTGAGTTGGTAAAAGCCTTAACCCAAAGGGAAGAAAAGGATAAGCCAAAAACCTAAGGAGGCCGAAATCATCAAGCTGAACAACATGCCCGCTCCGGAGTCGTATAGGACTTGGAAGAATCATGTCAGGGATGAAGTGAAAAGTTGCTCAGATCGCCCAGATGAGGCATGGCTCTGGCTCAATGAGGTGTACGATCAAGAGTGCACCAGAGAGCAGTTGGAGAAGAAACTCCAAGATCCTGGAAAGTTCCTCACGCTGGATACAAAGTTATCAGCAGCGCTCACGCGCTCAGCCGGAGGGGACCTCGCAACTAGGATCCTGAATTTCAAAGAGCAGCAATCCCGAAAAGGCATCCAGGTCAGGGGAAGGTATGTTCTGCTCATGTTTGAGGACTACTTCAAAACATCAGAAGAAGCAGGTAGCCTTTACAGAGTAGAAGATCTTTTGGGTGTTGTCAAAGTAGGCGATACTGTCCAGGATCTCCGAAGATTCATCAACAAATGGGATGCTACCCTAGCTGGCATGGCTGTCACCCCCGATGATGCTGTGTTAAGGGACATCTTGTTGAGGCAGATCCGACCAAGTCAGTTGCTGAAATATGACATCGAGATGCTTGATCGTGCACATGAGAAATCCCATGAAAAGTCTTATAGTTTTCTTCATCAATCCATGAAGAACTTGATCGACCGTGAACGATTGAGGGAGAACAGGAACCGCATCGCGGAGAAGAACAAGGCTGGGATCAAGGACACAAAGGCCGCACCCGCCAAAGGCGATGGTCGCGGTGGCCGAAAGGGCTCCCCAAGTCGTGGTAGATCGCAGGAACGAGGTGGCAAAGGTGACAAAATTTGCTATAAGTTCCAAAAGGGTACCTGTGATAAGGGGAAGAAGTGTCCATTCAAGCATGTCAAAGATGATAAATCTCGAACTCAATCACCCAGAAGAACCAAGACACGTTCACCATCAAGGGGCAACAAAGATGATAAGGGGAAGAAAATGTCCAAGGAAGAGATGGCCAAAACCCCATGTATCTATCATGCCCAGGGAAAGTGCAGACGTGGTGACAAATGTTTTTATAAGCGTGATGACAAAGCCGCTGCCGCCACCAAAGACACCAAAAGGGCCAATTCACCCGCTCCCAAAAAGAAGAGCAAGGATTCCACAGCCGCTCCATGCCTGATCCAGAAGTTTGCATGCATCGTCCGAAAACAGCCGAAGGCAACTTCGTGCTCTGATGAGTCAAGTGTCAGCATGAAGCGTCTTAGATTCCGAAAGGCCCCACATGTGATCGAGGTGAAAGCAGTTGGTCGTCAAGTCCCAGTCAAGCACCGTCCAAGAGAGTTCACTAAGGTGTACAAGACAGCTGAAGATGTTCCAGTTTCATCTAAGGTTGAACAACATGAGGCTCAAGTTCGTGCAAGACAGCTTCAAGAAACTGTGAAACTTCATGATTCAGATGTTGCACCTAGTTGTGGGTTTTGTTGTTGGAACGAGGACACATGTGACATCACATGCAAAGAGTGCAGATTCATCAGCGGTCCCAAAGCTCTTAGAGACATTGGTCGTTTTCCGTCAATTGCCACGGCTGCGCCAAAGGCCGGCGTCAGTTGGCTCGTCGACTCAGGTAGTGAATCCGATCTTGTGTCCAAGGGTATGCTGAGGGATGTTAGCGCCAAGAACTGCCGTGCAGCCGAGCATCCGATTTCCTTAGTCACAGCCAATGGTTCGACCGAGGCAAACGAGGTTGCAGATGTCAAGTTGTCCGCATTGCCTGATCCCGTGCATCCGTATGTACTAGATCATACCCCAGCTGTGCTCTCCGTAGGAACCAGATGTGTTGATCAGGGTTACAGTTTTGTTTGGCCTGCCAATGGCAAACCAATCCTAGTCCGTCCAGACGACAAGGTCGTCCAGCTCAAGATCGAAGGTCATGTCCCAGTCTTGGATGATAGTTGCAAGGTTTATCCCAAAGATCAATTTCAAAAGGATAAGCACCTCAGAAAGTTGTTTGCAATGCCGACCTCGCGGTCGAGCTCGAAAGCCAAGCGGGACGAAGCCCAAGATGAAGAGCAGTTGGATGAGCTGGTGGAGGATGATGCTCAGCAGGAGTATATCCGAAGCCGCAAGACTGAGGATTTGCTGGCCGAAGCTGCAAGTACCCAACATCAGTACACTCATTTCCCCAAGAACCCTTTTTGCAGAACCTGCCAACGGGCAAGAATGATGGCTCCTCAGGCACGAAAGAAAGGTGGTCAGAAGAGAATTGAAACTGAGGTGTTTGGTGACCACATCATTGGGGATCATGTCATCATTAAGAAAAATGTAGAAGAGGGTTTCAGGGGGGAGCAAGTTGCATTGGTGTTGAAAGATCTGCGCACTCAATACCGATATGTCTACCCTAGCCAGTCCAAGGACTCACAAAGCTGTGTTGATGGTTTGAATCACTTCATTGGATCAAAGGATGACGTTCAAGTTGTGTACACTGACAATTCCCCAGAATTGATCAGGGCCATCAAGGATTTGGGTTACAGACACCAAACTTCCATTGAATATGTAGATTCATCAAAGTCTTTTGCTGAGCGCGAAGTTCGTCAGATGTTGGAAGGTGCCCGGAGCAACCTGTTGCAATCAGGACTTCCTTTAAAGATGTGGCCATTGGCCATGCAGCATCATGCGACCG